TTGATAATATGTATTCACCAACCTCAGTTGTTTATGGATGTTACCGCAGTCCTGTGGAGAATCTGGCGCTCTCGTAATTGGGTTGTCTTTGAAGGCAAACAGTTAGGGATCCCAGCGCTCATGAGGTAGTTTAAAGCAATATAAGGAATGGATAAGTTTGCCTTTGGATGGGACCCAGCGGGTTCCTGCCCCCTGCTGATCAACTTGTGGGGACTACTACCCCTTCCTCGGTTATCTGCAAATGGGATGGGGCTATCAATCATGCATCTCACTCAGCAGGAGGAGTGGTTGTTATGAACCCGGCAGGGGAGGTTCTTCGGCCAAAAGGTGTTCAATTTGTCGGGGTTGATGACCCTTTAGTCGCTGAGATGCTTACTCTTCGTGAAGCAGTCCTTTGGTGTATTGACAAGTTTAACCACGTTGATATCAGAGACAGTCGGATTGGAGCCCTTCTAGAAGAAGTATTGCATTGCTTATCTAACCATAGTGGGTTCAGTGTGCGGTTTGTAGGTCGGCGTAGTAATAGGGTAGCCCATTTGGTGGCTAGAGAGGCTCATCTTTTGTACCCGACTACAAGTCGCTTCTTTGATTTCTTGGCCTGACTTAATTCCAGGATGTAATTATCTTTTCTCTGATCAATATTTGATTATCTTTTGTAAAAAAAAACAATTGTCTGGGTTGGGGGCAGGTAATTCGAATTGACTCGTTATAAATTACTCATTTTGTAAAACGAGTCAATTGGTCAAATTGTCTCATTTTGCAATTGATCCATCCAAACGACCTTTTTTTTTTCTTCATGTAAGGTTCGGCGCATAAGAATTTACCTTATAATTACAACGTGAAATCTCTAAATTGAAAATTATTAGACCGAATTCTTATACAATGAAGCAAGCTCATTTAAAAACAACTGGGGTTAATAACTTAATATTGTGAGGTTGGTACAGATACAACCAATAGTCCAATCCACCTATATACAGTATACTAATGATTACTTCTTAGGAGTTGTTTAGAGAATTGGAATCTAAATTACTAGGTTATAAATAATTCAAAAATTCGAACCTGATTTTCGACAATTATGATTGTTGACCTTTAATGAAAAACAATCGATAAATCAAGATATAGTCACTCTATATTTAATAGAGTTTTGATATATATTGGGCTAATACCACTACAACACCAAAACTATCCGGAAAATGGAACTTGTGTCCTATTGTTTCCAATATTCTATCTATGTTTTGAACTATTATTTCGTTAGTGTTGACCGGCGTTGACCGTTAGTATTTAATAGAAAATCCAATTAGCGTTGATGTGGCATCTGACGTGGAATTTTCATTATCAAATTTCATTTAATAAAAAACAAAAAATATAAAAACCTCTCAATCCCTTCTCTGCGTCTCCTCCCGCTGTCTGGTGGAACCCTCTGCCGGAGCCCTGTCCGGGAAGTCGCCATCAACACTCAGATTCGGGACCTTAGTCGAATTCATGATGGGGTGGGGGGGCGTCAAGCTGAGAGGACAAGAAAGGGGAATCGAAGGTCGGGGGAGGGGAATCGTCGTTCTCGAAGCGACCAGGGGCATGATTCCAAGATCTCATCGGCGCAAAACTTCATCCCGCTCAGTGTTCGTCGTCGTCGGCCCTCCTAACTCTCCTCCACCACCGCAACAACCTCCAGATTTGACGAGATCCTAACCCATAGATGGCGAAGCTCCTCCGCTCCTCAAGCTCTACGATTGGAGATCTGAATCTTCTGGTCTTGTTCAGAGGTTGGACGGCAGCGAGGTTTCGGGACACAGGAGGGCGAAGCTTGTTGTGGAATGGAGAAGGGCGAGGGAGGCTGCCGATACTGGTGGAGAGATGAGGGGATTCGCCTCGTTCTCTCCCTCGCTCCTCATCCTTCTCTCCATCCCAGTCAAGCAAACCCCACATCATCGCTACCTCCGACTTAGCAACAGCCGCAGGTAAACCCAACCTCTGGTCCCCACGAACGCGCTCCCATTTCTTCTCAAACTGACGAGCCTTCTATCAACCTTCGTATTCCTAGATTTCGAAGGTTCGAGATGCGGCGCTGCCCTCTTTTTGTGCTTCGACGGTTCCCGGCGACAATCCAGCCGCATCCACCTCGTCTCTTCCTTTCTTTCCCTCTTCCACACGACGGTTCCCTCCTCACTTCCGTGATCGCTGCAGGAGCAGTCGGAAGTCGCCGAAGTATCAACGGGAAAGCACCAACCAAGCAAAGAGGAGAGAGACGATCGACGAAATCAATGGAGATTTTCTATTTTTTGAATTTTGGGGTTTTAGAATATTATATAGTAATATTCTTGAATTTAAAGTTTTTTCAATTTATTATTTTCAAATTTTTATTTAATATAAGTTAAAAATGTGAGGTTTCAATGACTTGGCACTGCCACATCAGCAAAAGTCAATGTTAAGTTGACCGTCGTTTGGTCAACTGTTATCTTTAACGGTCAACGAAATTGGCAGGATACAAATGACACAAAGTATAATAATTTAGGACATGAATGGAATATTGAAAAAAATAGGATACAAGTCGGGTGTTGTAGTGGTATTAGTCCATATATATTTGATAAAAAAAAGTAACAAAAAATACAATTTTTGTTGAATATATGAAATTTATAAATTTATGTTTCAAATCTCATTCTGAAAATAGCTCCGGATCCACAATTCATTAAGCAAATCAACTTTCTATGATTAATGGGAAAAATCATTAAATTATGGGGAATCTCTAATTAGAGTCCCCACATATGAACTTTATACAATTTGTTACATGAATCCTTGCAACAATCCTTGCAATACATGTATACAACACAAACTAATTTCTAACACCACATGCCAAACAATGTGCTTGCAACTAGCTTTTAGGATGTTAATGGATGGATTAGTGGAGGATTTTCCTAAACCATTACGTCACCATTTTGAAATATTCAAATTCACACCTGTTACATCAATACATTGAAAGGTTTTGCATCTTCATCTCTATACCCACGATTTTCGGGTACTCGTATCGTACATCCAACATTACTATATTTAAAATTCAACATGTAAGTTTTTAATTATAACACCAAACAAACATAATAAATAATAAAATCAATCAAGATACAACCATTTTGATATAAATTAATCGCATTCAATCCTAAACATCCATTAATCAATAAGAAAATGTACAATATTATCCAAATTATTCATGTACAACTCCGACACATTTTGACATAATAATCTTGTTAAAAGAGAGGGAGTGAGTGAAGAGAGAATTGAGGGGGGAAACTAAAGTTTTGGTTAGGTGAATGGTGATTACTCAATTACATTTTAACTCTTTATTCTAAATATTAACCAACTTTCTTTTCATTGATAAGTTATAATTTGATCTCTCTATTTTTATAAATATATAAAGGAATACTTGTGGTGGGACCGAGAGAGTTAAAATCATACCCGCCTCATCCCATGAATTTGTTTTGGGTTAATTACATGGTTGGTCACTGAGATTACAAAAAACGTTCATGTTTGGTCACTGAAAATATTTAAATCCAATCTTGGTCACTCAAATTAGTTAAACGGTTCAAGTTTGGTCACTCTCCGTCCAACTCCGTTAAATTTGTCTGATGTGACAGTCAACCCTCAATGTTGACCGTTAACTCGGTGACGTGGCAATTAAAAAATAATGAATAAAATAAATTTTAATCTTCTATCATTTCCAACTCATTTTCATAATAAAGTAAAATTAAAAAATTAAAAAATTATTATAATCACAAATTGAAAGAGTAGCTTCCTCCGCTCCATAAAGAAGACGACCCAAATGGTTCACAAGAGGGAGATTTAAATGGAGCATCATCCATGTCCAACCCTCTCTTTATATAAACTTTCAACACTCCACTCCATCCTTAATTTCCACTCAAAACCCTTCCAACCTTGAGGACTTGAGAGTTTCTCAATACTGTTGAAAACAACAAATCAAATCAAGATGGCTTTCCCTGCAGACCAAGAAGCTTGGACTCTGGATTTCATCAGGCAACAGCTCCTAACCGACTTTCCTTCCATGGATTCCTTCATCTCCCACTTCCAACAACACCAAACCCCTTTGAATTCAACTGTCAAAACAGAGCAAGAAACCACCCAGCTGAGCAATAACAGCAGCAAGTTGCAGGCTCCCTCTGTTTCGCTGTCTCACTCTCCTTCTTCCAGCTGCAACAGCACTCTGAGCCAGAGGAAGCCGCCCATGTCCAACATCTCCATCCCAAACACCATCCCCAAGATCCCAGCCCCGGCCCACGACCCGGCCCGGATCCAGCTTCATTCAGATCTCGCCAATTCCTCTGCTTCCGACGAAAAGCACTACAGAGACATGCGCGGTTTATGGAGCGAGCGAGGGGGAAGAAGGCGAGGTTCAATCCGGAGAGGATCGTGATGGGCGGCAGCGCGACGGGAGCCAACGAGCTCATCACCTTCTGCCTCGCTAACGCCGGCGACGCTTTTCTCGTTCCGTCCCCTTATTACCCAGTGTACGTCCAAAAACTCTGCCATTCATCCTACCTCCACCCGCTGCCGGCGACAGAGGAATTGGGAGCTGATTTGGTTGCGGGAAGGGATGTGGTGGCGGAGGAGGAAACTACTCTTTCAATTTGTGATTATAATAACTTTTTTTATTTTACTTTATTGTGAAAATGAGTTGGAAATGGTAGAAGATTAAAATTTATTTTATTTATTATTTTTTAATTGCCACGTCACCGAGTTACGGTCAACTTTGAGGGTTGACTGCCACATCAGACAAATTTAACGGAGTTGGACGGAGAGTAACCAAACTTGAACCATTTAACTAATTTGAGTGACCAAGATTGAATTTAAATATTTTCAGTGACCAAACATGAACGTTTTTTGTAATCTCAGTGACCAACCATACAATTAAGCCAATTTTTTTTATTAGTTTTACTCATTCCCCGTCAACGTAGAGATTCTCCATATTAACTAGATCGTGGATGGTATATTATCCGCAATTGTGGATTTGATTGTCATCCCGCTTCTACAGAAACAAGCAAGCTCAAAGGTTCTCCAAATCTTCCAAATAACTCCCCTGACTACAAACCCTGTACTCCATGTAAGAGTTGGTTTATCGAGAAATTTCTCTGAGGATTGTACTTGAGCTGGGGAAGAACTTTAAACTTGGATTGGAAGTTAACTTGCATTTAATGGATCCAGTCACTTCTCATCGATGCAGCTTGATCATCTTCACGTTCTTTCCCGGAAAATCACACGGCTGATGCAACCAGCAGATAAAAACTATGGACAAGAACCACGAGAGAGGAAAGCCGCCATCATAGACAGTTGGACACAGCCTGATGAAGTCGATGAAGAAAATGACAGCAATTTTACACAAGAAAACAACACTTTCATGCATTAGCGAGAAGTTACATCAGATTTACAGAACTGCAGTCGCATGAAACGCGCCCTTGACCAGCAGCATCCACAGTGGCCTCAATCTAGTAACCGATGGGGTTAAGATTATGAAGGCGTTATGGTGGTCTAATTCAGGGCTCCCCCTTATTCAGCAATTTCCCCCTCTTCCAACTCTTCAGGGTTCATATTGAACCTTAGAAAACCATCTCCACCGTTACCTCCCATATCCATGGGCAAATCACCTTCAAAATCAAGAAAGTCATCGGTGTTGATCTCTATTATATCTGAATACTTATCTATCAGGCTCTGGTCAAAATCGAAATCCATGTCATCAAATATTCCACATGGAGTGTCCTTCAAGCAACTGAGCAAATTGTTTCCCGACAACGAATTCTCCTGAGCTGGATTATCTGTGGCTTTCTGAGCCGGCTCTTGGTACCCTGGATTCTTAACTTCGCCCTGTGCAAGAAGATCATAAACCTGCGTATCACCTGAAGGAGCATTTTCTTCTTCTTCTTCTTCAATGATTTCCTCCTCACGGAAGGGAACACCATTCGGGATCATCACTTGATCATCATTGCTCACACGATTCTTAGCTTCCGGCCTACGCGCCATCGGAAGCAAGTCTTCTACAACTTCAAAATCACAACTTTGAGAAGGGAGAAGAACGTAGATGACAGGGTACTCCAACACACTTAGATTCCCTAATTGCTGCTTTAAAGGGGCCTTTATGTCCAGCTCCCGAAAAGGTGATTTCCCCTGTAAGTCAAAATGAGAGCATAAGGCTTCAGAAACTAGCGGGAGGCATTGTGATTCTAAAGATGCAACCTTTCCTTGTAAACATATACATACTCTTGGATATTTGCGTATGAAGCACGTGAGAGATTCCAACCCCGCTTCACAGAACTGCTTTAACTTATGCTTCCATGGTCCTGGGCTCAGATGCTTCTGAATCTCAGAGCAAATTGACGAGTTTTCATTTACGCTGTAATGGGAAACAAGTACCGAGGGTTTTCATATGCATCATAGTGAAGCCACCATGGAAAAGTACAACAAAAGACCTTGAGAGAAAATAAAAAGGATTATACAGACAAATTCAATACGGCTTACCCATGGTCAACTAGAACAACATCAGTTGAACGAAACCTCCATTCTATGGTCCAGAAGATCGACTTCTTCCTGAAATATGTCATGCAAAGGTAGCCAGAATATGTGTAATCATTCACAAACAGAACATATTACTACATACGCTCATAAAGAATCAGCAGACTCACAAGGAGCAGTTCTTTGCAAACAGGCGTTTACCTGCGGTCATAGCGAGTTTGGTTCTTCTCCCTCCTTGACATTCCACTAGGGAGAAGAAGGAGGTTTGTTCTGCGACTTGATGCAGCACGCTTCAGGCTTTGAAGGTGAACGGGCAACCGAAATTGAGGGTAAGCACGCAATTGAACTCTCATCCTTGCACCTGAATCAACCGCTCTCTTCGCTTCCTCGAGAAAGTTATAATCTACGAGCCACATAGTCAATATCCAGGCCAATTCAAAACTTGGCAGAAAGCAATGAACTTCTCATATAAAGCTAGCAAATTCAAAGTTCCCATTGTAAAAAAAGGTGAGAAGTGGGAAGAATTGAGTACCAGAAAGAAGGGCTTTGTCGTCGAACTGAGACATGGGAACGAAAGGGGCGACTTCTCGCTTGCCGGAGCATCCAGTCCGGTGCTTGTGTGATTTGACGCAAGGGAGGCTGCAGGTCCGGAGAGAGCAGCCGGGGCATTTGTATTTCGCCGCCTTCTCTTTGCATTCTACGCATAGTATTACCGTTGTGCGTTGAGCTTCTTGGCAGAAATTCTGATTCGGGTTCGGCTCCGTTGGACCGCGAAGCTCTGGCGACGGCTGCTGCCGCCGCCGCTCCTCCATTGGTAGACTTGAAAAAGAGGGAAAGAAACAGAATGAGGGTTTTAAGTCGGCGGGATGAATTGAATTTCTTCCAGGGTTTTGTTCCGTGAGGAGGGCGAAGATGACGTGTCATTTACATCCCACTGCCACTACCAGAACGCTTAACAGAACGGTGTCGTTCACCTCCCTATTGCCGTGGCCCATGCAGACAGTACTACTAGTAGCCCAGCAGATGGGCTACGGGTTAGTTGGGCCTTCGATCTGTTACGCTACGGGCCACGTTTGAACTTTAATACTATGTTTGGCAACAAGGGGGGTGCAAGTTCGAGGGGAGCGCAAGTTGAGGGGTAAATTGTTGGGGGGTGCAACTTGGTGGAGGGTGTAAGTGGAGGGGTAAATTGTTGTTTGGATGAAAAAGTAGGGGGGTGCAAATGGGACAGGTTACGGTGAATACTACAAAAATAGTAATCACCGTGGTTACTAAGGGTAAATTGGGTATGAAAAATAAATTATATTAATTATTTTTTTTAATAAATTATATTTTAGGTAGTTACAAGAATCTATTAATTACAATTCTCTCTCTTTCTCTCACTCCCATAATCTCCAGTCAGATCTCCTTTCCTTATTTTTCTCAATCTTTCTGCAAAAGAAAAAAACACGAAATCACTACCAATCCATTAGACAAGCACTACTATTGCAAAAAATATCAATACCATTGCAGAAATAAATCTATACCATTACACGAAAACTATCAATATAAACAATCTACCAATATAAATCTATACCATTTCAAAAAAAATAAATACCATTGCAGATTTAATTAATACCAATCCGCTAGACAACCACTACCATTTCGGAAACCGTCAATACCAGTACACTAAAACTACCAATATAAACAAAGTCAAAATAATACCATTGCAGAAATAAATCAATACTATTAAGAAAAATAAAACTACCATTTCATAAAACGAAACAAATAAACCAGTACCAAAAAAGTAAACTCATATCTAGAGCCTCTCCTAGAGAGAGAGAGTAAACTCATACCACTGCACATTGAATCAATACCATTGCAGGACTACCATTACACAAACGATAAAACAATACCAAACCAAATAGTAGTGTACTACCAAAAGAAAAGGCGATTTTCCTTAACGAATGTCATTACCAATACCATTGCTCAGTAAAGCAATACCATTATGCAAATAAAAAAATTGCAGCCAGTGGAGGAACACGATTACAATTTACAAACCAATAACAAATACTAATTAAAAATCCCATTCGTATAATAGTACCATTACCAATACTACTACACATTGAGTCCAACTACTACTCCAGCGTCGCCGCCGTGATTATCATCCGAGGGAAACTCATTTAAGTTGCGGCCATAGCGTCCGTCGCAAACGCTGACAGACTAGAACAACCATAAATAGAATAAGAGAAAGCGGAAGTCACTGGAGAAAAGGTTGAGAAAGAAGAGAATAAGAAGAAGTTCGGCCATCGGCGTCGTCTGTACTCAGATCTGATTGGGGGCGGTGACGCAGAGGGGAGGGTGAGGAAGGAAGATGGGTGGGAAAGGAGGAGGCGGCGGCGGCAGAGTTGGAGTAGGGCACAGCAACAGCGGCGACAGTCGTCGTCGCTTGCACAGAGTCATCGTCGTCGGGGCTGGTGTAGGCGGTCGGCGGGATTAGTCGTTAGTGCGACGGGAGTGGTGGAGGCGGCGGGTTTGGCTGGAGGGAGGGTAGAACTAGGGTTTGGGTAGATTATATAGAATAATCGGGTGCGGTCACTTTTTCATTTCCAAAATTACCCTCAAAGAATCTTGACCGTAAGATTAAAAAAGAAAAGAAAATAGGAAATCAAACGGTATATAAAGAGGTTGCCACCGTGAGTACTAAAAAACAAGTAACCACCCTAACTCATCCCGGGTGCAAATAGAGTAAAAAGTAAGTAATTATATTATTATAAAATAGATTTATCAATTTATAAAATATTATCACAAAATAATAACATGAAAATTCAATATATAATAATAATAAATAATAAATAAAAATAATTTTAATAAAAATAATTATTATATAATAATGCTCAAATATAATTATTTATAATAATAATAATAATCATTGGTCAAGCAACCTCGAAACTCGAAATCCAACTCGTAACTGGTCATCCTAAGGGGGTTCTCGTGCCTAACTTTAAATTGAATATGGTCAAACTTAGTCAAACACGTTCGAATCTGTAAGTTTTAACTACTTATTAAAGTAAATCGAGTTAACTAAACTGTCCCTCTCTATCTTTTCAACAAACGCTTCTTATCTCTAATTTTCAATGCAAATTCGGGTCAACTAAGAGATATCGATTTGACTAGGCGAACATTGACAAACTTGCTCTCTGAGTCAAATGGTCAACCCCAAACAACTTCTACACTAATATAGATATAAGAAAAAATTAATAATATTAATTATTATGTAATTATAATCTAATTAAAAATCCATAATTCCCCTCCTCCCCCTTCCCCCTCCCTTCCTTCCTTCCCTTGCACCCCAATTTGGGGGGTAAGCCGAAATAGTGAATTTACGCTCACGTTTTGCACCCCCTACTGTTACAAAATAACCAAACGGGGGTAAACACCTTGGAACTTGTGTTTACCCCCCAAACTTGCACCCCCTTCCATTTACCCCCTTCCCAAACATAGTGTAAGGGTAGTTTGTTTATTGGATTTGGAAAATAAAAGTTTTGGGTAACAAAAATCTTGAGATTCATGATAGATTTATTGTATTATGGATTGAAAAGTCTAGTGTTTGAATTAAAAAAAATTCTAGTGTTTGCATGATAGATTTAATAATATATTTATGATGGATTTTTCACATAAGGAACTAACCATTATGAATTTACAAATCCCAAACAAATATATGGGATTTACAAGCTCGTGTGATCCATGGGTTTGATCTCAAATTAAAGAACAAATCTGTGGACCCCACGGATTTGGCACCCATCAACAAACAATGAAATTGTGTTAAATCCATAAAGTTTGGGATTTGGGTACCAAATTCATGATCCAAATCCAACAAGCAAACTACCCATTAATTCTCTTTATGAAGAGTAGAACTAGTTAGTGTTAGGAATTCTCTACACCACTGGTGGTGTAGTGTGACAATTAATAGACCGCCAAACTAAACTAGATTGCTGGAGCTATATAGTGTCGCTTTCCATGTCTGATAGCTAATAATAATATGTCATCTTCGACATAAAGCGGCCTATTTCATAATCTATACATTGTCCTCTATCTCGCTCGACTCAAGTGAAGCAGGGCCTGTGACGCGAGACAAGTCGGTAAGAAGCACTCCAAGAAATACATTTTTCACTTTCCATTCAATACGAATTCCGCCATTGGACAATCCAAATTTGACTGCAGAGGATTGGTTGCAAGGGTCGTTAGAGGTTCATCATCATTGAGTATCAATCTAACTATAACATTTTTTGTCGACCTCCCCAAACCATCCAATAAGTGCCTATGAAATTGGATATTAGAAATTGGTAAAGGAATCCGCAGAATTTCTTGTGACTCAAATGTTTGGGATATATACTGTCTTTACTTCTCAACGAAGGAGAAGAAAGTTACAAACTGAAAAAGATCTATCTACCAATTAGAAGTAAACACGTATATATGTGCAGTAAAAATAGAAAACTAAATCCACACTATTTAAGACGACATCGTTCTCTACTCATTCCATTTGTTGCTTCCGGGGGAGAAACGACGTTGTCCTATAAACTCTGCAGTGCTGAAGTCGATTGAATCATCTTCAATACCCTCCCTCAAGCTGATGCATACAAGTTCTGTATGTTTAGCTTGGATAACAAGTAATCGAGTCTAAAGCGGCTGAGTCCCTTCATGAACAAGTCAGCTATTTGATTCTCGGTTTCAAGGTGACCTAGCCCTATTAGTTTCGATTGGAGGAATTGTCTAACCACATGACAGTCGATCTCTATATGTTTTGTTCTCTCGTGGAACACTAAATTTTCTACAATGTAAATTGCAGATCGAATGACACAGAAGAGATTCACAGGTTGAGGATGTTCTATCCGAGTTCCAGTAACAATCTCTTAACACAAACCACTACACAGGTTAGTTGAGCTAGAGCTCTATACTCAGCCTCGAATGATGATCTGGAAGCAATACTTTGTTTCTTGGATCCAAATGATCAAAGAAGAACCAAAAGTGATGCAATATCTAGTTGTGGGTCTTCTTGTATCAGGGCAAGATGCCCAATCCGAGTCACTATAACTCATTAACTTCAAATCAGAAGATGATGGATAGAAAAGATCCTGACGTGGAGCATTTTTTAGAAACTTGAGGATCCTGTATGCAATCTTCTAATGTGTAGTTGCAGGGGCTGCTTGATACTGGTATAACTGTTGTACAGCAAAGGTTATCTTAGGTCGAGTAATGGTTAGGTAGTGTAACCTACCAACTATCTTTATGAAAAGCTTGAGATCTTTCATAAGAGGACCATCATCTGCAGACAGTCTGGTTTTCATGTTAATTGGTGTGACAACTGGTTTAGAATCTACAAATCCAGTGTATGCCAATAGATCAGTGCAATATTTCTTCTGACATATGTGCAAACCCTCCATGGATCCAGCCATTTCCAGTCCTAGAAAATAATAGAGATGGCCCAGATCTCTCAACTTGAACTGAGAACTAAGATGAGTCTTCAACGCAACATACTGGATGTATCATCACCAACAATGATGATATCGTCAACATACACCACGAGAATGGAAATACCAAAGGGAGAGTGATGTGTAAACATCGAGTAATCATTCTGAGATTGCACATAACCAAAGTTGAGTAGCACATAAGTAAGCTTAGCAAACCATTGGCGAGATGCTTGTTTTAAACCATAGAGAGATTTTCTCAACTTGCAGACATAACTAGGTATAGAAATTTCAGGTGGTAGTTCCATGTACACTTCTTCTTCAAGCTCTCCATAGGAAAGCATTACTGACATCTAGCTGAAACATTTCCGAGTACTTAGCTGCTGCAACAACCAAAGAGTCTCAACTGAATTCAATTTTGCAACTAGAG